AGACTGCGATAGACATCTTTCTATAGAGCCCTTCGGAAGCACGTTCTCATAATAAACACTGTCCAATCTTATCAATCTTCCCTGACTTCCGATTTGGGAAACCTGCATTTTTTGACTTCACCACCTTTCGAAAGCTATAACTGATAGCAATAGGCAGAACAGTGAGCCTATTGTGATCCACTCTGCAGAAGCCAACATGTGCCAAGGTTCACCACCGCCAACGAGTACACAGGCACTAGCCCCCTACGTCTCTCCGTCTAGCCAATCCGTCTGACCAATCACCTCTCAGAACCGACTCACGCAAAGGCAACTCTAGAAGCTGTAACAATTCTCGCGGTTGCCTCACTTCAGACAAGGCGCTGTTGCTCGCTCGTCTGATAGTCAACTTTCTCTTGCCTATTTTCCCATTCCTTCTGTACAGAATAAATTGTTCCTACCTCTCTGGCCTCCCATGACTTCTCTTCTCCTAAGGAACCGGGCCTAGCAGTTGCTGGGGTTTAACTTAAGCCCCTTGGATAGGCCCGTGGCTAAGTCGCTACACTCTTCCTCGCCAGGTGCCCGGATAACGCGCGGTGCACGCGCCTTTTAAGATGCGGCTAATTGCGTCAGAGCCGCCTCGGGTGATCAAAAGACGCGCACACGTACGTACGAGTGCTAAATCATCCGCACAAAGGTCGGGTCCGAATTCACAACTGCTGATAATAAATTCAGCCCACAAGCCTGACGCCCTTTCGAGCTTGGCACAGTTCACTAACCTCCCCGCGCCGGGACGTTTTGGCGTTCAAATCCGTGAGAACTGGGAGTGTGATGCGAATACTTCGGTCAAAGAGTGTCGCGCGGGTCCGTCTTTTGTCTGCATTTTATCCTTTTGCACATCCGGGTGCATGCCTCCAGACTATGACACCGGCAAAAAGGTTATCCGCGCCTCTCAGATCGGCACGAACGAGCCAAGACCAACACACCACCTTTTCCCCGCCCCCTTTGAAAACCGTGCTTACAACGTGATTCCTTACCTTTCCTGGGTCGAAGTCGAAATCGATACCTTCAGCGGTATTTTCGCCGTATTCATTATTCTGGACTACTGTGGTTCAGTCAACATGTTGTCTACCTACCCGGGAACTCCATCTTTATTAGTTGTGTGATGGTGGTGTGCCCCAAAAACCGCACGGTGGCAGTAATTCTTCGCTTTCAATAAATCCAAATCGAAAATGTTGAAATATGTTTTCGCTTCGAAGGATAGGGCAGGCTATCTCGATAAGAAAGAAGTCGTTTACAAAATCCCATGCGAAGCTTGTGATGCCGTATATTGTGGGCAAACAGGAAGGTCCGTCTCCACACGCAGCACCAATTGGCAGTAAAGAGACGTGACCATTTATACGAAGTGGCTAGCATAGACCTGATACAGGGCACATTTGCCTATGGGAAAAAACATGCATCGTCGGAGTTAGCCCCTCCAAAAAGGCAAATCATCTTTTGAGGCCATGCACTCCGAGGATTCATGCATCAATAGGCATATCGAGTTGAATAGAATGTACATACATCTCAAGGAAATATGGAAGAAGCGACAATCGATTAACACGCACTAACGTCTACTGCAACTGCTAATTAGCGCTCACACCGGGTCATAATTAGTTTTTCCACCCCGACTGATGTAAATTGCAGCTGGCAATGAGCTTTCACACCAGATGAGAGTCTGACGACGACCTGGTGATCCAGCTTCCAAAATTTACCGAATAAACTTACCTTGATTTTCCCAAAGAACGTCTCTCCTTCTGATAAGTCCTCAGCCATCGGCACGTAAGACTTGGATGGACGTTCCTCCATACATCTGCTGATAAAATTTTCGGAAAAGTCGTTTTCTCGCAGAATGTTTTGTATACAAGACCTGGCTATATCCTCCCCAAAAAGTGCAATGCAAAAAGGAAGAAGTACGCTTTAGTTTAAAATATTCAGCAAAAAACGGCCCCATTCACGGTGGCCCACATAGGACTTGATACTTGATATCAAGATAGGGTATTCTTACACTTGCAGTTGTGTATTCTATTTAAATTTCTTGCTCACAAATCAGATTTTTGGCATATGAATTTTTGAAAACTTTTATTATATCAGATCAGCAAAATTTAAAAAAGTGCTTTGCTTTGATCAAGCACATCTCGACCAATACGAAGATTTCAAATCGCATAGAATGCTCGCAATACTAGTGACAGTTCGACCGTCGATTTCGACGATGGCTACCTTATGCTCAGTGATGATGCAGGAACGGTGACTTGCGCGCGAATTAGTTTTAAGTGATGACAGACTTTCACAGCATCTACCGCACTCTCTCTTCCCTCATCCACCTGGGCCCGGTACCAAGACAAGAAGACCGGGGGCTGGACCGGGCACAGGTGGCCCAGGATTTACACAACCAGGGGATTAGAAGGAGCCGTCAACGCTTGACTCCCAGTCCACTCACCAGCCACAAAACACACTGAGCTGATGGTGTGTCCGGTAAGTACGTCAACTGGCAGCCTTCTCAGCCACGGACAACCCTAGCAACTGCGATCTTCAGACCATGGTTACTTAGTGGAGAGGAAGTCAGTAGAGGCCAGAGCGTTAAGAACAGTATATTGTGTACACAGAGGAACAGAGAAAGGATGAAAGAAATCTTACTTGGGAACACACGACCAGCCAGGAGAGCCAGCCGGGTCCAAGTGCTGGTTTGACAACAGTCAGGCCAGTAGACAGAGAAAGAGCGTTCATTGGCTGGGTCGGCCTAGAAGGTTTTTGGCCAGACAGATAGACTGCATCGGGAACGCGTGCAAGCTTGCTATTCGCCGTTGGCCCAAAAGGCATCTATGCAGCAACTGTGATTGGCTGTTCCAAGACGTCGAGAACCGCATGGCTGGACCTTTGGGAAAGTCCACTTCGACGCGAGCTAGTCACAACAGCGTCTCCTAGGTTGCCAGCCTATTTCATGCTGGAGTGCATCATTGGCTTTAGGCAGTTCTACAGGTTGTACCTAACCTGCCGGGAACAGCCGACCCTGCCTGGGGCCACCCCTCCCCCTCTATCTATCACTCCCTGTCTATTTTGTGTTGCTATGCGACGCTGACTTAAGTCAGCGCTAGAGCTACTGTGAAGGGGACGGCCGTTCTTACAGCGTCGCCACGCCCCCAGCTTATCTTGCGCTAGAAGTGCATGATATGCGATAAGCGACCGTGAAATGGTCACAATGTCAATTATCGATTTTCCCACGCTGCTACGCGACACAGCGTGGCGTGAGAATCATTCAACACCGCTTGACTCTCAGTCCACGGATCAGCCACTGAACATAAAACACACACACTGAGCTGATGGCTCTGATAAAGTTTCAACCAGCAGTGCTAACCAGCGAGCTGGGGGTAATAATTCAGATGCAGTCTGTGCAAAAGAAACAGAGCAAACAACCCACATGTTGGTGGGTGGTATTTGTGGTAGTGCTTAAAGCTAAGCTGAAGGTAATTGGGTGGGGTTGTCTCTAGCGGTCTTTTTTGGGTCCTTATATATTATAGCTGCCTACTTAAATTTTTAAGTAGGTTGAATTACCTGTACACTTCTGGTTTTCTA